CTCACAGCATTTGCCTTTTCCATTTCTAGTTGTGCACCTCATAACGCCAACGAAGGAAGTCATTCAATCATGACAACTAGGTTCATTACAAATTTATGTTATCTACTCTTAGCTGGGCCCTCACAGATGTTTAGAAGTCATTTTATTCTTCCCTGATTAATTCTCCATCACACAGTAGTCATTCCAAACCTTTTCTCTTCTCCTCACATTTTCTACAAGTTCTACTCTCTCTCATAGGGGACCTTAACTCCTATTTTAATGACAAAACAGAGACTATCACAAGCTCTTTCTTTTCCCCTATTTCACTCATCAAAAGCCCTCTACATGTCCCTGATTCTTTCCTACTTTGCTGCTGTCTTGGAAGAAGAGGTGGCCCTTTTCTGTAACAAGGCCAACCCCTATATGTATGCTTTTGATCCCATCTGCTGTCTCCTTTAGGAGTTTTCCCCTTTAATTATGCCATCTTTTCCTCTTTTCTTCAGTCTTTTCTTATACACTGATTTCTTCCCAGCTGCCTAAGACACACTTATCTTTCCAATCCTTAAATAAAACATAATAATAATATAAAAAACCCTTTATTTAATACTGCTGTCCCCTGACAGCAATCTGATATCCATTCTCTCTCTCACAACCAAACTTCCCGAGAGTAATTTGCACTTGTGCCTACACCTCTTCACCACCCCCTCAAAACCCGTTTACTGACCCTACCAATCAATTAAAGTTGCTTTTGCCAAACTACCAATGAGTTTTTAACTACTAACTCCCATGTCCCAATTTCTTAGCCCTAATCATTCTTCCCTTCTGCAAGGGGGTGTTCTCCTCTCTATCTGACCATTCTTCTTAGAGCCTTTGCTAGTTTATCAAACATCTCCCACCTTCTTAGTGAAGGTCTCCCCTGAAGCTCTATCCTGGCCCTTTTTTTTTCTCTTCTCCTTTTTCTTTTGCCTTGTAGGCATTCAACTGTCATCTCTTATTCATTCGTCATCTCTTAAATTATCATCTCTTGCCATCTTGCCATCTTCTATAAATGTTCTTCTTCCATATTCATGAACCCCGAAATTCCCTTATCTGATCACCATCTATCATAGTTCCACCTCTTCCTCCACCTCCCTTGCATGCCCAACTCTGTTCTTCGTCCAAATTGACCTTCAATCCCTCAACCTCTCATTTCCTTCCCAGGCCATCACCTTGTACACCCCAAGCCTTTCTCCATCTTGACCCATTAGTGAACAAGTTCATTACACTGTCCTCTTCTGTCCTTTGTTCCCTTATTGTAGCACAGATCTTGCCCTGCCAATCTTTAGCTTTATATCACTTTCACCATCCTTTGCCTTTGTTTCTAAACACATGTTGCTAAATAAAACTTGAGAAAATCATGAAACTGTGCTGACTGGGTCCACTAGAAATTTGTTATATAACTTTAACTAGGCCCTTACTGCAATTAGGCAATCCTTTTACACTTCCCTAATTAACATACTACCTCACTCATCACAGTAGCTCTTCTAAATCTTTTCATCCCTACTCAAACCTCCATGGTCTACCTTCTCAGTTGAGAACTTTGTTTCATATTTTACTTAAAAAAATCACTGAGAGCTCCCTCTTCTTCCTCCTCTTAATCTCATTTCACTCAGATGGCTCTATCACTATCTTCTCCTCACCCCTTCTCCTTGCCAAAGTAAACCCCCCCTACAGGTACAAGTGATCCCTTTTCATTCTGTCTGCTCTAGCAGATTGCCCCCTCTATTTTACCAACTCATTCATTTATCTTCAATCTCTTCCTTCATACAGGCTGCTTTTATACTGTCTACAAACATGTCCATGTCTCCTGCATCCTCAAAAAACCATCACTTGATCCCTCCACCCTGGCTAACTATTTTTCCACATTTCTCCCGCCTTTTGTGGCTAAAATCCTTGAGAAGGCCTCCTACAGTAGGTGCCTCCACACTTCTTAATTCTTTACAGTCTGGCTTCCAGCTTCATCATTCAACCAAAACTACTCACTCCAAACTTACTGACAATTTCTTAACTGCTAAATTTAATGGCCTTTTCTTAACCCTCATTTTTCATGACCAGCCTTTGACACTGTCAATCACCCACTTCTCCTCAATATTCTCTTTTCTCTAGGTTTTCAGTATATTACTTTCTCCTGGTTCTCCTGTCTCACCTCCTCAATTTCTGCTACTAGTGAGTGTCCCACAGGTGATAAAAGGGAGAGAATAAACATTTATGTAGTATCTACTATCTGCCAGGCACTGTGCCAAGTGTTTTCTAAATAGTATTTCATTTGATCTTCACAGCAACCCTGTAATGTAGATATTGTTTTTTTTCCCCCATTTTACAGTTGAGGAAGCTGAGGCAAACAGAGGGACTTGTCCAGGGTCACATAGCTATTAAGTGTCTGAGGGATCCACCCTGCTGTTCTATCTCTATGCTATTTCACCTGATGATCTCATCAGCTCCAATGGATTCAATGACCATCTTGAAGCTGATGCTTCAAATCTCTGCACACAGCTCAAACCTCCCTGATGACCTCTATCCTCCCATCTTCAACTGCCTATTAGACATCTTGGAGTGGATGTCCTATAGGTATCTTAATCTCAATGTGTTCAAAAGTGAACTTGTTATCATTCCCCCTTCAACTTTCTTTCTTCCAAACTTCCCTATTACTGTTGAGGACACCTCAGACTTGCAACCTAGGTGTCATCCTTGACTCCTCACTCTCTCTCCTTTCCCATATTACATCTGTTGCCAGGGCCTGTGGATTTTACCTTCATGACATTTCTCGCATACATCTCCCTTTTCTCCTATGACACTGCTACCGCCCTGGTGAAGGCCCTCATCACGCACGTCTGGACTATTACAACAGCCTGCCAGATTGTCTGCCTGCCACAAGTCTCTCCCCACTCCAGTCCAACCTCCACTCAGCTATCCAAGTGATCTTCCTATGATGAAGGCTTGACCATGTCATCCTTCTACTTCATAAATTGCAGTGACTCCCTATCACCTCTAGGATCAGATATAAAATCCTCTGCTCAAAGTCCTTCATATCCTGCCGCACCTCCACCTATCAAGTCTTCTTACACCATCCTCCCCAACCCCTCACATACTCTGAGATCCAGTGACACTGGTCTCTCCTTGAAAAAGACACTTCAAAAAGATAAAAAAAGAAAAAGAAAAAGACCCCTCATCTCTTACTCCAAGTATTTTCACTGGCTGTCCCCAACACGTAGAATGTTCTTCCTCTTCATCTTCACCTCCTGGCTTCCCTGACTTCTTTCAAGCCTCAGCTAAAATTGCTGCTTCTACAGGAAGCCTTTCCCCATCCCTCTTAATTCTAAGAAATAATCTCTGTTGATTATTTCCAATTTATCTCGTATATAGCTTATCTGTACACAGTTATTTGCATGGTGTCTTCCCCATTGGACTGTAGGCTCTTTGATAGCAAGAACTGCCTTTCACCTTTCTTTGTATCCCCAGCACTTAGTACAGTGCCTGGCACAGAGTAGGTGCTTAATAAATGTTGACTGACTGACTGACTCACTGATTACAAAATCTATCTAGCCAGTCCCAATCTTTCTCTTGAATTCCTGTACATTGCTAGCAGCTTGTTGGCACCTACACTGGATTTCCTATCAGTATTCCAAACTTAATGAGTCTAATATAATATTCATTATCTTTCCCCCTAAACTCAGTTCTCCAAACTTTTCTATTTCTATTAAGGTCACCATCATCCTTCAAGTAACCCAGGTTTAAAACTTCAGTCATTCTTAACTCTTCTTTTTCCTCTGCCATCCACATCTAATCAATAGACAAATCTTTGCAGTCCTACCTTAATATTTCTTATATCAATTTCCATATCTCCACACATACAGATCTACTCTAATTCAAGCCTTCATTGCCTCTTACCTAGACTTTTGAAGTAGCTTCCTAATTTGTCTTCATTCATCCAATGAGGTAACGTAAAACATTTTGCAAATTTTAAAAAGTTATATATTGAAGCAGACATGATTTCATTGCTAGCAATACAGCTAGGCAACTTGTCAGTAACTTATAGGCTTTGAAAGTTGTCAGAAATATTGACAGGGTCAGTGACTTGCCCAAGATCACAGGGCCAGTATGTGTCAGTGATGGAACTTCTGAACCCAGATCTTCTTGACTCTGAAACTACCTCTTCGATGCTATGTGGTCTCTTAAAAAAAGCTATATAAATGTCAGCTACTATTATTTGTTTCTATTATTTTTATTAGTCTCTTTGCTTCTAGTCTCTCCTTTCTTAGAACTCCCTAAATTATCTTCCTAAGACTCATGTTTGACTACTGTGTCACTCCCCTGCTCAAAAACCTGTAGAGGCTTCCTAATACCTCTGGGATAAAGTACAAACTAACAGTATTAAACTGTACTAAACAGCCTAGTATTTAACACCCTCTATAGCTTGACTCCTCCTACTCCTCTTTACAAACTTTACAAAGTTCTCAACTGAGAAGGTAGACCACAGAGGTTTGAGGAGGGATGAAAAGATTTGGAAGAGCTACAGTGATGCATGAGGTAGTAAGTTAATTAGGGAAGTGTAAGGGCCTAGCTGAAGTTACATAACAAATTAGCTTGCCAGAATTCAAAACTACAACTTCCGGCTCTGGATAATCACCTAAATATATAATACATGACCTTCTCATCTCATCTTTCAGAATCTTTGACTTCTTTCAAGGATTCACTCAGGTGTCACTTCCTTCATTAAGCCTTCCCTGGTCCCCAAGTTAAAGCTCTTCTCCTCAATTTGCTTTGCATTATATTCATTTGTTTATGTGTGGTATTCCTGTCAGTAGACTCTTAGTTCCTTAAGAGAAAGCACTGTTATATTTTTGTCTCTATATTCCTGGTACAGTACTTAACAAATTTCCCAGCAAATAGAAGACATTTATTAAATATCTGTTGAATTGAACTGAATTTTTAATGGATAACAAACTTCAAGTCAAGGCTATTATATTTAATAAAATGCTTACCAATATCTTTTTGTGAGGAGACAGGATTTAAATTTCCTGAAGAATAATTTTCATCAAACTGCAAAATAATTTCCATTAGATTTAACTTGTAAGAGTAATATAAAATAATTATAAAATACATATTTTAAACTAAGTAAAAGTGTAATACAGTCCTTTATGGTTTTCATATTGAACTTAATCCTTGTAAAAATTGGGGTAAGGAGTAAAAAAAGATATACAATAATGAATTGGCCTTAAAACTGTGCCTTGGGACAGCTAGGTGGCTCAGTGGATAGAACTCTGGCCTTGGAGTTAGGAAACCTAAGTTCAAATCTGGCCTCAGATACTTAACACTTACTAGTTCTGTGACCTTGGGCAAGTCACTTAACCCCATTGCCTCACCCCCCCCCAAAAATATAAAAGAACCCTATGCCTCCATGGTATCATAAAGTACACTTATTTGTATGCTGATGCTATTAAAAATAGTACTTATTCTGTATTAAATATATTGACTATAAATGCTAGTGAAATATAATTACAGTTATATTTAATTCTCCTGTCATTCTGAAGGAAAGCTTGCTGGATCAAACACTTAGTAGAATGATACACAGTAAAACTAAAATCTGAGAACAATTTTCAACACCTTTTCCCTGTGTGTAAAAGTTGAGTTTATAAGTATACTTCAAAATATTGGATAATTAAGCAAGTGTTAAATACTTGTAAAATTTAAAATACATAAACTGAAAGACAGGATGGAAGATATAACATTTCAAAATGATGTAATTTAAAATGAAATTTTTTTAAAAAAATAAATAAATTATTCAAAATTTTTTTTGTAACTCTCCCTTTGGAATTGTCTCCTTTATTTCATTTGAATATTCTGTGTGATAGCAAATTACCACTTAACAATGGATTTGATTTTCTGAAACATCTAAAACTCATTGTAAGCCAAGTATTCTGAATAATAAAATAAGTGATCAATCTCGGTAAAACATAAATTGTTAAACCATTCCCCCACAGATAAAGGTTGTCCAAGTATATGAACAGGCAGTTTTTAAAAGAAAAAATGCAAACTATCAATAACCATATGAAAAAAAATTTTTGAAATCACTAATAATAAGATAAAGGGAAAACTAAAACAACCGAAGTTTTACCTCACACATAACAGATTGGCAAATAGGACAAAAGGCCTAAGCTGCAAATTTTTGGGGAACTGTGGAGCTATGGATTGGCCCAGTATTATATTCTGCAATGTATCTGTATAATGGTCCAGTATACATATTCTGGAAAAGCAATTTGGAATTACACTAGAAAAGTCATTAACTTGTACATATGCTTTGACCAAGTAATAGCATGATTGAACATATGCTCCAAAGAGGTCAGAGACAGGGGGAAAGGTCTCATATATCCATAAATATTTTTAACAACACTTTTTGTGTTAGCAAGGAACTGAAAACAAAGTGGGTATCTATCAACTGAGACAATATATAATTTAAAAGAAGAAAATGTTCTTACCTGATCTGGCAAGTTTTCATTTCCAAATTCAGAAGACTCAAATAAATTAAATCCAGGTGATGTGGAAGAACCCATATCAAAAGAAAATGCATGTGGTGTCTTTTGTGATTTGGCTTCAAGTCCTAAATTTCTAAGCCTGTCATATAAACAGAGAAGTTGTTATATTCTTATAAACTATTTTTAAAGAGAATCATCCCAAACATCTCTGTACATACTCATCTCTTATTTAACTGTGAACAAGCCATTAGGCAAACTTTCTGATAAATCAAGCATTTATTGAGTGCCTAACACTATTCTAAGTACCCAGGAGATACAGAACACAGTCTTAGCTTCAGTGAACTTACTACTAACTAGGAAGACAAGAATAAAACCAATAAACCAATAATAAAAATGCAGTGAGTAATGTGGTACAGATATGTGTGGAAGAGTTAAGAGAAGGGAAAAATCAATGAAAGTATGATCAAATAGATCTTGATCTAGGCCTTCAAGGATAAATAAAATTTAAATAAATAGGAAGGGTGATAGAAAGAACATTCCAGATTGTGGGAGCAACTTAAGAAAGTGTATGGTGAGTGAAAGGCAGAAGGATGTGAAGGGAAAATAGTAAGGAGACTAAACAGTATCACAGAATTTGAGAATTGAGAGGGAATGCAGTTGCTATCTAGTCTATCTCATAAATTAAGGAATCCCCACCATCACCTATCCCACAAACATATGAGTAATCAGACCAGATGATGAATGATGGAATGATGAGAAATAAGGGTGTTTGCTTTGGGTGGGGTCCATTACTGAGGGCCTTGAAAGCCAGTCAGAGGAGTTTGGTTCAATTGGAAATGTAGGTTCTTGGGCAAGAGAGAACATGACCAAAACAATGTTTTAGAATGATTAGATTTATAGTCTCTTTCACTAAAGACCTAATCTGATGTCTTATGATGGCATGAACGTTACTCTGGGTTCTCTAAAGCTATGACAACTTAGAGAAAATTCTGGTAGATCCCACCAAATTGGAAAGGCTTCATAAAAAAGGTGGATATATTACACGTACATTCATGACAAAGGATATATCTCATCTAGATCGGCCTAGCTAAATTCAGAGAAATTCATTACCACATTGGCTTCAGGGAAATTAATTTTTCAGCTACATCACCCACTTGCATTGAACAGAACACTAACACGGACAAAACGACAGATTGCTTAAGGATTGAATTAAGTCCCGTAGTGACATGAAATGCTATTGTGTAATCCAGCTATAAAGCCTGTCCATGCAGCTAGGTGGCGCAGTAGATAAAAGTACTGGGCCTGGAGTCAAGAAGACTCATTTTCCCTAGTTCAGATCTGGCCTCAGACACTAGCTGTGTGATCCTGGGCAAGTCACTTAACTCTGTATGCTTTCGTAGTTCCTCGTCTGAAAAATGAGCTGGGGAAGGAAATGGCAAACTGCTCCTGTATTTCTGCCAAAAAAACCCTAAATGGGGTCTCAAAGAGTCAGACAGAGCTGAAATGTCTGAACATTTTTTTTTAAACCTGGACAAGTGTGGTGGCAGTGAGATTGGAGAGGAAGGGATACATTCAAAATACATTTTGGAAGCATCAATATGAATTGATTATAAATCTGACATAGTAGATAAAAGGGAGGACAAAGTGTTGAAGGTTTTCGAAAGTGGACTGGGATGATGGTGTAAGTAAAGGTGTCAATGAAGGGAATTGGGAAAACAGAGTTACTTTTGGAAGAAACTAGAAAGCATTAGTATAAAATACTAGTAGAAAGTACAGTCTTATAGGCAACAAACTGAAGACCTTAGAGCAACAGGTGAATACAGGTAAAAAAAATCCTAATACATAGAAATGTTACTATGATCACAGATTTAGAGATAGGAGGGGCCTAAGTGGTCATCTAATACATCCAATTCTCTCATTTTTTTTATAGATGAAGAAACTAGGGTCCAAAGAGGTTAAGTGATTTGGCCAATATCAATTGCAAAGTATCAATTGATCAACAAGAATTCATTAAGTTCCTGCTGTGCAATGCACTTTGCTAGGCGCTGGGAATACAAACACAATGAATGAAACAATCTCTACTTGCAAGACAGAACCAGGATGTGAATCCAGCTTTTTCACTCTAAGTCATTCTTTCCTCTACAGCACTGGAAATGTTACTTACAGAAATAAAAAAGAAAAAGAAGTTAAGGGAATAACTATTAGCAACAAATAAGCAGAAATATTTACTTGAAAAACTCTAGAGAATAAAAAAAATGAGAAAATAGTTTCAGGAAAGCCGTAGAAAACACCCTTACAAAAATCAGCAATTCTGTTTCTATTTGAGATTTCTATTTGAGTGGTTTTGGCATCCCAGAAAGGACTATCCTAAATTAAAAGGTAAAGGCATTATTTATTTGGCCCTGCTGATCTATTATCTCCAAAGTAAGGGATTTTAAGTGAATGTTTATGTGATATGTAATATTATATGCAATATTACATGATATTCCCAATAGGGTGCCTAACAAATTACAACTGCAATTTCATGTTCTATAGCATGGAACAAAGCAGATTGGTGGAGGACTCCTCAATGGACTACACAGTGGTATCTGTATGTGATGGTATCTTTCATTAATCTATAATAGGATAGAGACTAGACTTAGATGTAATTGATATAAGGAAATCCCAGATGAGGAAACGCCCTCCTGTAATGTAGACCAGCATCTTAGCTGCAAATTACAGTCTTCAAGCATTTCCTAGGTCACTGAGAATTCCAGTGACTTGCCCAGGGTCACACAGCCAGTTTGCATCAGAGGCAGAATTTGAATCCTAGTCTTCCTGGCTTCAAAGTCAGCTCTCCATCCACAGCTGCTCCTTCAAGATAATTAAGTCTGTTAAGAAATGTAATGCTCGACATTTTAAATCAGGAGATAGAGAAGCACAACTTCTTAGTTCTAATACTGACTTCCTCTTTGACCCTGGCTCAGTTGCTTATTTTCTTTTGTTGTTTGTTTCCTTAGCTACAAAAAGGGAGAAAATCATTCACCTCATTTACTTCTTTGGAATTTTCATATAAAAATCTATAGGCACTAGATATATTGTTATTATATCGATCACACTTATAAACTAAAGCAAGTCTTTAATACAATAATGAAACATGAAGGAAAACAAAACCTTACAGTTCAGATGAAGGACTTTTAGAAAACTCTAATTTCTCCACACATTCAGGCGTTTTCAAAAATTCAGGAGTTCTTAAAAATAGAGGCATTTCAGGAGTGCTTGGAAATTTTTCAGTGTTTTCTTCAGTTTCATCATGATTATCCTCTGTTAATTTGCCCATGTGTTCTGTGTGGCTGTCCTATCAATTCACAATACATAGAAAACTATCAGATAAATTTTATAGTATAAATGAAATAACACAAAATATTTTGAGTCCTCACAAAGAAATAAATTATAGTAATCCATAATGAGAAGAATAAAGGAGCCCCCAAAACAACTCAATTAGCAAACATTTGATCTGAGGTAAGAGTAGTTTAAATATAAACTCATTTGTGAGGTAGAGCCAAAATGGCTGAGAAGGAAGTAGCACAGAGAACAAACCCCTAAAACTCCTCCAAACGGATCTAGAAAATGCACCAGACTGAATCCTGATGGGGAAATCCAAGACAAAGTCACAGGGAGTCATTTTTCTAGCTGAGGTCAGCATAGGGATATGGACAGAGAGATCTGTCTATGGATAGGAGAGGTCTGTCTGTGGGATACTGGAGACAGGGTCTGGCTAGGAGCCCCACGAAATATTCCAGAACATAGGGAAAAAACTGTGTCTCAGGGCAAGAGGAGGTCATAGACCCATGCTGGGACACCATGATAGGAGAAAGGTGTCGACTGGTAGCTTTGTGATCCACTACCTAGTTCCAGGTTACAGATTCAAGACAGACTGCTGAGGGGAACTGCATTCCCAGGAAGGGAGGCCCTAGATTGTGTATGCAGAAAAAAGTAGGTAAAACCTTCAGAGAAATAACCAGGGTGGTAATCCCAGACCTAAGGGGATTTGTAGTATTTGTAGTTCTGTTACTCTAAACCAGTAGAGCTTTCTGCATGGGCACTCCAACACCCAGAGGGAAGCTTTGCACCAAGGCAAGAGAAGGTCCCAGACTCATAACGGTACCTCAATGGGGACAGGTGCCAATTGACAGTTTTGTTACATTCTACTCAATTCTAGGTCACAGACTCACAGTGGACAGAGAGGGGGGGATTTATGCACCATGATGGTATTTCTGGATAGGAAGGCCCTAGGCAGTATACAGAGAAAGGAGCAAGTTCAGAAGCAAGCAGCAGAGAAATCACACAAACCCTAAGAGCAGAACAAGGTATCTGTTCCAGTACAGAAATCCCAGATCAAAGGGAGCTGGCTAAGCCCAATAGCAGTTTACTGTTGCTGAGACCCAAACCTAGTGGTTTGGAAGTTGTAGAGTTGCAGAGCTCAGGAAAGGGTGATCACCAGACTTTATCCTGGTTCAGACAGACCACTATGGGAGCACTGAAAGCTTGCAAGTCCCCAGCTTGAGTTGTCCCTGAGATCCTGGAACAGCACAATACTCAATATCCCAAGAAAGCAGTAATAGGACTAATCCAGGTCTTCCCTACAGAAATACACAGAGCCTGACCCTAATATCAAGCCTGAAGTCAGAAAGCAGGCTGGAAGAACGAGCAAACAAAAAAAGTATCCCACCACTATTATGGTGATAGTAATTCTCAAGACACAAACCCAAAGGAAGAGGATGCCTCCAAACATCTAAACAAAAGAAAAAACATAAGCATGCACACAAATTCTACTACAGTCCCTGGAAGAGATGAAAAAAAGAATTTTAAAATGTTTTTTATTAAAGAAATGAGAGCACTAGCTGAATTGTGTGTTTTCAAACTAAATTTAATAGTTCTCATGTTTAAAGTTTTTAAAAATAGATTTGAGCCAGATACTTACTTGTGGGATATCTGCTGAATCTTTTAATTCTCTTTCTGTTTCTTTTTCTCCACACTCAGAATCTGTGTTTGTTAAACAAGAACATACTATTGTTTGCATAATATATTAACATCTTAAAAAGAAAGGCTTGGTGGTAAGTGAAAATTAAAGGTTCTACTCTTGTAGATTTATAGAATTCCTCTTCCTTTCCAATCTGAGTTATTTATGTACCTTCCAAGATGTAGAACCTTCTGTCCTCTTTTTAGATGATATAGGAATAAGACAGTTATCTATGAATATATTTAGTTCACATAGATAACAGCCTCCCTTTATAATCCCTCTACAAAACTGCTACCAGAGGCATCTACTCTTTGACTCTAGCTCATTTCTTCCTAGTCCTACTCTGCTACACTGAATGAAGGCTATAGAGGGGCAGAACATAATCTATATGAGATAAGGATGTGATTTTTTTCCCCCTCTCCATACAGATGACAATATTCCACTGCTTTATGACAAATTCATCTTTCCTATAATGATGGTAGGAGAGATAAACTAATAGTATTGGGGCAAATTATTTAACTGAATTTAATTCAAGGAAAATAATACAATATTTAGTAAACAAATTATTAGTACAAGTCATTGCATTATTTGGATTTTTCTAATGTCTTTACAATACAAAGAATGTGGTATATTTTATAACACCAATATCAAGACCCACTATTTTATCGTCAGATAGATAGGAAGATATAAACTACATAAGCTAGTGAAAAAACTGTCATTGTTACCCTTTATATAACTGAACTAATTTTTAATAACTGTGGAAGCTCAATTAAATAGATGGCCCAAAATCCAAGTATGACTGCCTTTGCTCAAAAATCAAAAAAGAAATTAAGATATGCCAGAAAAAATCAATGTATAAGCAATTAAGAATATAATAGAAATTTTAAAAATATTATAATATAAGTAAATAGCATTTCTTCATCTTATCCTATCAAATATACAATAAGTAAGTTAAACATTTACTTTTAAAAGCCACTATTACTTGTACAGGGTGAAATCTAGAAATAACTTATCCCCACTAATTCAAAGGAAAAATATGAACATCAGATACCTGCACTTCCTTTGTCAAATATTTGCTTATAGTTTGATTGTTTCTCAAGAAGCAAAAATCTAAAATGTACAAATATAAGTTTGTTATTTACTGAGTTATTGTTCATTTCAATAATTAAAGCATTTTCTAATTCTAGAAAATTACCTGAATTGCATCAAGTTTTGTGTACTTTTAAGAGCTGAAACTTTAGAATATTTGTTCATCACAGAGTCATCAAATTCCTGCATGAGATAAATACAATATTTGAAGTGGCTTTATAAGACTGTTACTTAGAAATCTGGTGGGGTTTTTTTTGCTTTTGATTTGGCATTGCCACTGGAATACTCTTCATTTAGTCAGGATCAACACTTTTTGCTTGAGTGCTAAATGCAAAATACTGTGCAAGGTGCTGAGTTTCACCATCTTTGTTAAGGACATTATGTGTAATCTTACTTGGAGAGACAAGACATTATTAATTACAATAGCTCACATCTAGCAATGTTTTATTAAGAATATTTACATAAATATTCAAGCAATAATATAAAGTAACATTGCTAGAATAAAGGCATGGCTTTTTGCTTGTCTCTTCCATACCTTATCAAAGTTAATTACCAATTTATTCTACCTATTCCCCAACTTCTTGGTCCTCAATTCTATTTTTCTCAACTAAAACAGAGAAAACATAGGCCACAAAGGTTAAATGATTAAAAGCTGAGATTTTTACATACTTAACAAAAAAAGGTTAATCTTTTTAGAGGAAAAAAAAAGAAAGAATTATTACTTCCTTAGCATGGCAAGAGCCAGAGTTGTTTTGACTGACTAAACATAAGGAAAAACATCACAGATGTAAAGGGACTAGTTAGGGACCTTAAACATCATCTCTCTGCCCTCAAAAATGAGTTCTATCTCATTTTACAGACAAGATAACTGAAGCCTTGAGAGTTGAAGTGTCTTACCCAAGAAAACACAGAACTATGATCTAAACCCCACTCCTTTTCTTTCAAATCCACCTCTCCTCCTATTATTCCCTATTGCTTCTTCATTCATTGTTTGAACTCTGCTTTGTTCAACTATTTCTGTTACTATCTTTGATCTCTATCTAGATTTGCAATGATAGTAGTTATCCTTTCCACATGATGTGGGTTAGGGATGCAGCACTCTTGTGATCTGGAAAATCTGTGTAAAATTTTTTGGCTCTCTTTCAGAGAAGTCTGAATTTTTTTCCTTTTCTTTTATTGGGTGTTTACAGTTACTTGTTATAAAATTTGGGTTGATATTACACAATACTACACACATTTTATGCACTTCTGAGTTTCTAAACTTTTCCTATATCATCTGCTGCACAAAACTCCCCCCAAATTCCCATTTAATTTCTATTATTGTATTGTATCATTACCTAAAAGTCAGATAGAATTGCTTTATATAATATTTCACAATTATGTAATCCCTTTACTATTTACTAAGCAATTTGTTCACAATCCATAAGACGGGGAGTGCAAATATAATTATTCCTCTAATTTACACATGAGAAGGCTGAGGTTTAGATTAACTAAATGACTTGTCCAACATCACTTAGCTACTATATGGTGGAAAAGCAGGAACCTTTTCTCCATCCCAGGAGGAAAAACTGAAAAGCCTGGAGTGACATCTTTGCAGATTATCTAGGAAAATGAAGTGTTCCTTGAAAAAATGGAAGAAAAGTTTCCACAAATAAATAAAGAAGAAAATGGAGCTGAAAAGGTAAGAGGGAATTCTCATATCAGAGTGGTGTTGCTGAGCTTGTAAGAAGGTAGGCAGATGTCTGTCATTCTTACTCCCTCACATCTTTCTGTGGGAGCCAAGCTACTCTTCTTCCCCTAGGTGTGACTTTCTGGCCTTTCCTGTGGTTCTTCCCCAAAGAATAGTGGTTTTTCTTTCAAACCAGGCCTCTGAAAATATAAAATCTCCTGTTCCCACTCTCACCTCCAAGCCAGCCTAGCTAAGTCACTGTCTGAGATCCTGTTGTTAACTCATCTGTCTAAAGAAACTCCATCAAAAGAATTCTCTCTGCCCTCAAAAATTGCAAAAATGAATAAATAACTACTCACTTTCTGACATCATGCCCCAAACCAGAAATCTCACTCTGGCAAAATACTGGGACATAAAACGTATTATACCTCTTGATATTGCATTCCAACAGTAACACATGAAGTTTAACAATGACAGTAGGTGAAAGTTTTTTATTTCCTGGGCATTTAAACATAGAAGGGTAAACAACCTTTCAAGAAACAAGTAAAGTTCTCTACTTCTGGGGGAAGACATCAGGCTCACTTTCTCTTAGAAGACAGGAAAGGAAATGGAAGAAGGAACTGAAGAATCATTGTCTTGTGTCACAGCCCAATCAGATTTAAGCAATACAAGATCTGGTCACAAGTCCCAAAGATGGGAGAAGCTAGATTATGAATCAAAGAGGCAGAAGAGGCTGGAAGATTTCTGCCTGAAGCTAACAGGAGATCCATACTTATCTCCTTAGTAGAGACACTTGCAGGAGGCGCGGCCAAGATGGTGCTACAATTTCTCCCCAGGGACAGAAATACTGTTGTCCCTTGCAAAAGCAGCAGTAATGTACTTGACATTTACCAGCATGTATCAAAATAAATACCAGTATTTAACATAAAAAGAATGATTAATCTAGTATCCCAAGATACTATAACAAAGGATAATTATTAATACTGAGGGTGAATCTGGCATCTGTTGCCCAAGTAAAGGAACTAGGAAGATTTAAAATGGGAAAGACCATGATTTGTTCATTGTTTCGTCACTTTTCAGTTGTGTCCAACTCTTTGTGACACTTTTTTTTTTTGCAAAGATACTGGAGTGGTTTGCCATTTTCTTTTCCAGGCTAATTTTAAAGATGAGGAAACTGAGGCAGAGTTAAGTGACTTGCCCAGAATCACACAGCTAGTAAGTGTCTGAAGCCAGGTTTAAACTCAGGAAGATGAGTCTTCCTGACCCCAGGCCTGGCACTCTATTCACTGTGCCACCTAGTTTTTTCAAGTATATTAAAGTCCATTTTGTTGAAGAAGGATTAGACCTACTCTGTTTGACCCCAGAAAGCAAAACTAAAAGCAATATAAAATTAGGAAATTTCAGATTTAAGGAAAAAGAAAACTTTCTAACAATAAGAACTGTCCCAAAGTGGAACTGACTGCCTCAGAAGTTAGTGGACATCCCATATTAGAAAGGATTAGATCAGATATTCTCTGAGAACCCTTCAAACTCTTTAGTTCTGTGATGTAAGATTTTTTAAAATAGTAATAGCTAACATTTATATAGTACTTACTATGTACCAGGTACTATGCTAAGCATTTTACAATTATTATCTCATTTGATCCTCACAACAATCTTATGAGGTACTTGTTATTATTATCATCCCCACTTTACAGATAAGGTCAAATGATTTGCCAAAGGTAATACTAGTAATAAGCATTTGTGGCCAGATTTCAACTCAGGTCTTCCTAACTCCAGTCCAAGGCTCTATCCACTGTGCCATCTAGCTGCCTTAATACCTTGAGCTAGTGGTACATATGCTAATTGGCATGGCTAGTTCAGACTATACAACACAGATAAAAATGTGCCATATTTTTATATTCATTATACATATATATATATATACATATATATGTGTGTGTGTGTATATATATCTATATATAGATACAGATATCTATATCTGTATCTATATCTATATATCTCCGATACTTCTTACTTTCTTTATAAAAAAGAATAGATACCGGTATTGCCTTTCTCTCTGGTCTGAAGTCAATCCTGGCAAGTGTTGAATGACTCGATGAACTTTCTTCTTTTTCATCTAGGTTATAAATAATTAAATCAAATTATTTTCAAAAAGTTCATATATTATGTCCTACAGGGTTGAACTAACCCTGTGACTTGATAAAAAAAAAAGGTTTATATATGACAGTGAATTAAAAGTGATATACTTAAGAATTATGAAAATGTTATGTAATCAGGGGCAGTTAGGTGGCACAGTGGATAGAGCACTGGCTCTGGATTCAGGAGGACCTGCGTTCAAATCCGGCCTCAGACACATAACACTTACTAGCTGTGTGACCCTGGACATGTCACTTAACCCCATTGCCTAAGCAAAAACAAAAAACAAAAAAAATGTTATGTAACCCTGAGCCCTAGGTTACAATTCGACAGCCCTTTATCCTATAAATAGGGCTAGGTACAGGGTCCAGACCTGTAATTTCACTGGTATAGGGAATTCCCAGATAAGGAAATACCCTCTACCAATGCAAGTCAGCATCTTCTCTGCAACTCAGTGTTAGAACAAGGGTGGGGGGGGGTCTTAACCTGGGGTCAGTGAACATTTTTTTAAATAGTTTAATAACTATACGTCAATATAATTGGTTTTCTTTGTAATCCTATGGATTTTATTTTTTTTAACTTTTTTTTTTTTGGTGAGGCAATTGGGGTTAAGTGACTTGCCCAGAGTCACACAGCCAGTGAGTGTCAAGTGTCTGAGGCTGGATTTGAACCCAGGTCCTTCTGACTCCAAGGCCAGAGGTCTATCCACTGTGTCATCTAGCTGCCCCTGGATTTTATTTTAGGCATTTAAAAACATTATTCTGAGAAGGGATCCATAACCTTCATTGGACTGCCAAAAAGGTCCATGACACAAAAACGGTTAAGAAGTACTGTCTTAGAGAAATGGCTACAGCAGACCTGCACAACTTGATAGCTAGGTAGGGACCAAAATTAAAATAGGCCAAACTTCTTCGGGCTGTACATAGGTTAGACTAGAGACAAACTGATGATGGCTGGTCTGTGGATAAGGTGATATACAGGAAAGTACACAGTGGGAACCCTATATTTTTCAGGGGCTGTCTGAATTCCTATGGTGGGCAACCCGTAGCCCATGGGCCATATGTTGTGCAGGCCTGGGCAACAGCATAAGAGGTTAACTGATTTATCTAGAGTTACAACCTGTATGAGGCAGAAGCAGGTTATAAACTGAAGACTTCCTGATGCCATGTTATCTCTATAATAGCTATCTTTATTGTGAATAACAATGAACCTGATTATTATTCCTGGTGAAATACAAACACACTTAACAAAAATTCAGCTTACAAGATGATCAGTGAAAGAGACAGTGGGGAAAATCGATATCCCTACTTAAAGTGATGATATGGGTTAGCTGATCTGCAGACCTATTAAAAGGAGCCAGCCTAAGAAGTATTAAGGGCCAAGTCCCTGCAGCCCAGACACTGCAATTCTGCTTTCCAATTTAATTCAATTCAATAACCACTTATTAAGTGCCTATTATGTGCAAGGCATTGTGATGTGTACTAGAAATAATTGTTGTTCAGTTGTTTTTTTTCAGACATGTCTGCATCTTCATGACCCCATTTGGAGTTTTCTTGGCAAAGATACTGGAGTGGTTTGCCATTTCCTTATCCAGTTGATTAAGGCAAACAGGGTTAAGTGACTTGGCTAGGGTCACACAGCTAGTAAGTGTCTGAGGCCAGATTTAAACTCAGGAAAATGTCTTCCTGACTCTGGGCCTGGCACTCTGTCCACTGTGCCACCTAGTAGCCCCTAACTATACTGATAATACAAAGTAAAAAATACAGTTCCTGTCACCAAAATGCTTACACTCTGCTGTAATTTACCTCCTAGTCCATAATTCAATCATACAACTCCAAAAGAAAAAAAATTATTTCTAACAGATATAATAATTTCCCCTATCCTGACAACTGTACAACCAGAGCACAGTTTCTGGTTGCCAGTTTAGTCTCCCTCAGAGAAAATACAGGTGCTTAAAATAGGAGGCTCATTTCCTTTTTGCCTTCAGGAAAGACCAGAGAAGCACCTTCCTCAGCCTAGAGAACAAAAATGGGCTCAATGTATTATTTATGGGATATCTCACATTGAAACCTATCAAAAGGGTTTCTAATTCTATTTTTTATTGAATAATCAACTTTTAAATTTTATAATGCTCTGTACAGTAAGAAGCAACATGGCATAGTGGATAGAGAGCCAGCCTTTGATACATGAGAAGAAAAATAAATGATTTAGTTGTAAACGGAGATTTTACCTGTTTCTCTTGGTTCTGAGAAATGTCTCTCATTCCTTACAGGTCTGACTAAGTTCTGAGAAGTATAAGGAAGAAAGGGTTGACTATTTTGAAGATTCTCATTTAGTACACGAAAATGTCCATGTTCTTCAAAAATTCTAAATAGAAAATTCAGTTAAAATACTAAAAATCAGTCAAGTATAACAGGAGTTAGAATAGAATTCGAAGTGTCCTTAGAGAAAAAGCATTGGCTATGGCATCAGAGAACCTGGGTTCAAAACCCACCTTTCCTGCACTATCTATGTGATGTTGGCAAATCACTACCCTCCATGGGCCTCAATTTTCTCAACTGCAAAATAAGAAGGCTTGATGATAAAGGGTCCTTTCAGTTCTAGATTCTGTGACTATGACTTTACAATCTAATCTTTTCATCTTACAGATGAGAGAAGTGAAATGGAAAAGGATTAAGTAACTTGCCCACAGTCACATAGTCAGTGGAAAAAATGAGGCCTAGATTTAGGACTTCTTATTTGCTTCTGTGCCATTTTTATAACACTATATTTCTTTATTTCTTCACAATTCAATTCAATTCAATAAACATTTGTTAAGTGCCTACTATATGCAAGGCACTGTGTTAAGCCCTGTGGATACAAAAAGAGACAGTCTCTGCACTCAAAGAGCTTACAATTTGAGCGGGACAAATATATACAAATGTACAAATATAGAAAACAAGCTCTATACAGGACAAATGGCAAATACTTAACAGAGAGAAAGCCCTGGAATTGAGGGGCTGAGGAAACCTTCCTGTAGAAGGTGGGATTTTAGTTGGGACCTTAAGGAAACCAGGAAGTAATTGGAGTGGATGAGGGAAAGTGTACTGGGCTTTCAAATGAAGCCCACAACTCAGATACACATACATACATTTCTTTTATCCACCTGTAAATATTTTACTCCCAATCTAGCTTTATAGTCTGCCTAATTCTCCCCCTTTATATGACACAACAGTACACAATGATAGATATAGAAAAGCCCTCCATAAAGAAAATTCTTCTCCCAATGCAGAGCAGCCCCTTCTCTGCAAGAGCACTAAGAGGTCACATAGGCACTATGTGAGATGGGGAACTTAAACCTCTTTGAACTTCCTCTCTCTAAGGCTGACTCTCTATCCACTATGCTGTACTGCTTTATAATACAGGAAACTGTATAATTTTACAGTCAGAATATTTCATTCACATAAAATTAAGCAAGTTACCTCTCTTTAAATTCTTTCATTTTTTCTAATTTTTCACTTTTTTCTTCTAGGATTTCTGAAAGGTTCTTCGTTTCTGAAATTCTTGCAGTCTGCTAAAAATTAAAAACACAAGGACATCAAAATAACTATTTTTGAAAAATGCTGAACCTACGTCAAATTTGTGGTAACTAATAAGCATTAAAATTCTACATATAACCATATTACTACTTTCTGTACTTCCAATCTATAGTTGAAAAAGTTTCCCATTTTGTTCTTTACAACTACACCGGCAAATTTAGTTTTTGAAAAACTTCTATACTAGCTTTCCTATAAACAGGAGGTTATAAGCAAAAGGCTATTGGTTTCTCCCATTTTTTAAAAAGAAAATGGCAGGCAAGTGGTGCACACCTGAAATCCTTGCTATTGGTGAAGCTGAGACTGGAGGATCTCTTGAGCTTGGGAGTTCTGAGCTTCAGTGGGTTAATCTAATCAGGTATATGGACACTAAATCTGGAATCAACATGGTGAGCCCCAGGAGTGAGGGTCACTAGATTGCCTGAGAAGGAGGAGCTGGCCCAGGTCAGAGACAGAGCAAGTCAAAGCTCATATGCTGATCAGAATAATAATAGCCCCATAAGTAACCCTTGCATACTCAGCTTGGGGAAGAAAGAGAGAGAGAAAGAGAGAGAGAGAAGGAAGGAAGAAGGGAGAGAAAGAAAGAATATGGTAGTGTTATCCTCAATATTAAATTATATACTATTTTATATTTCAGACTTGATATAAAATCGTTAACATGGATTTTTTAAAATGTAAAAAATCTTTAGTGTCACTAGGTTGTTATAATCTTAGAGAAAGAGAGGGAAGGAAGGAAAACAAAATCTTTGTAACAAATATGCATAATCAAGCAAAATAAATTCCTCCATTGGCCATATCAAAAAATATGTATCTCTCATTTTATACTCTAAGACCATCGATTCTCTGTCAAAAGATGGGAGTAGTTACTATTTTGAAAGGAAACTCCATGAAGATCTATTTAAGAAAATGAAAGAAAATCTCAAGCTCAGGTTGAATTATTACTGACTACACAGAATGGGTATGTATATTTGTATTTATTTGCAAAAACAAGGCCATTTGAACTAGCCCATGTGAAAATTTAAATAAGGCTTTTGCCCATATGTATACAAAAACATGACAAAATCTTAAAAATAATAAAATGTTCAAAGAAAACCTTAATTCCAACAATATTTTTTAAATTTAATTTTTAAAAGTGATTTATACCACTTCTGATTTCAATGAAGGGATTTGTTCTAATTTTTAATATCTTTTAAACTCTGTATCAAGTATTTCTCCATTTTATCCAACCTTAAAATGGACCATTTAAAACTACAGATCATAATTTATATCCAATTTACTTCTATATTAGTTGATATTAAACATCTACATCAAAAACCAGTACCTGATTCAAAAAATTAATTTTTCTTTCTATTTCATCTGTTTCTTCCTTCAGTTTACATGATTTGTGGATCAAAGTTGAAGCATATTTAAGGATGTCTTCAGTTTTAGATCTCAATTGAACACTTTTGTGTTAAGAAATCATTATTATGGGAGTACATTACATCTAAGATTTATATAGCATAACCAATTCTACATAAGATTATTTGTGAAAATTTAACATTTTACAGCTACAAAAACATTCATTTAAGCCTTTAATATATCATAGTTTTATAAATAATATTATTCTAGTACACTGAGTTTCAGCACATAAATTCATCGTGAAGCCAGAATTCCTTAAGGGTCGGCAAGATCTTTCTGGTGTATGTACTGCTACTGCTACTATGTTATTCACTTTAACAACTTACAAAATTAATTTCAATACTTAGGAAAATAAATTTAGTTAATAATGGTCATATAAAATGCCTAACCAACTGTCTACTTGAAAATAGACATAAGTCCAGTTCAAGCAGAAAATCTAAAAAGGGTATAGAGGGAGGATTTAATCTTATGCAAACTCCTACGGTGTGTACTGCTGTGTCATATAGTGGTGGAGAATTAGGCAGATTATAAAGTTGGGCTGGGAGCAAAATATTTACAGTAAAATAAACAGCTTCAACTTAATCATATATTATAAAATATATCAAATTACATAATCAACTTGTAAGATGTATCCTATTTACAAGTCTAGTTGAGAGATGTGTTCACAACAAACAAAAAACAACTTGTTACCAATATGTGAGGCATTTCTGAATTATTTTTGGAATCAGCACAAAATTAAGAGAATAAAAATAAAAGATATGACATGCATTAAAACAGCTTTAACCTGTTCAGACAAGCTACTGATGCTTTCAAATAGGGAAACAGATAAAGAAACCAACAGCGATGCAGACTATTACTATTTCCTATAGAAGCTTAATTAGTATATAGGAATTACTACAATGAGGACAAAAGAGCCTAAAAATTGTTTGCTCAACCAGCAAAATAAATAATCTCTTTGCTAGACAGCTGGGGAAAACATTTTTGTTAAAATACAAATTTATTTGAAAAATATCATGTAGGATAAAGGATTATAAACAATCTTGCTTCATAACTCAGCAAGAAGCAATTGAAGGAAGAATGACCTAAAGCTTGGCTTTTGACACCATGCCACAATTCTGAGGGTGGTTAGGGATCAATTCTCAAGCTATCTGACAGAGAAGACTATATTGAATAACTAGAAAATTCATAAATATTATTATTACCAGGAAAAGGCTATCAAGATACCTATGACTACCAACATACATACATAATTTATCATCTCATAAAATCTTTCAGAGAATAAATTACATATAAAGACATCATTGACAAAAACATGAGAAGGGAATAGGCGGTCTTTTTCATAAACAATACTATACAGCAGACTACATTTTTTACATTCACATAACTAATTGGAAGGTACAGAAGAGAAGATCCCACTGATTATTGTATAAAAGGCATTCTTCATAGAGCTAAATACCACTTTAAAAGGTCTCCTCCATCAAGCTATTTCCCATGTATATGTTAAGATCAGATAAGATACTTTGATAGATGCAACAGCAGAAATAATTTTGTTTGATGATTCTCTGATTATTACTATCAAAGCATAAAACTGGAAGAATTATCATCAAAGGTATTTGTCACTGTCATAGAGGTTGCACGGTATCCAAATCAAGAATTTTCTGTAGATGTTGAAGTCCTAGAGATGCTCTTGTTTGTGTCAGACTTTGTGCTAATTGATTGATAATACTATATAATGTGCATAATAGTACATAATACTACAGAGACTTCTAAATGAGATCCAAAACTATCCAAAAGAGTTCAACTCAACATTCCACAAAGGAAAAACAGAGCAGATGAAGAATGCCTATGATGTGCAATTGAATAGACAACCCATTGAATTGTTCTTTTGGCACACATATCTTGAAACATTGTCAATGGATAATAAATGGCCCATAACTAAAAAGAAGACAGGAAGCTGTATTGTATTTGTAAAATTGGGCAATGTTTTTAATGATCCTAAGGTTCTCCTTGAAACAAAAACTAATATGTTAACACCAATATTGTTCAGGGGGTGTTATGTGACTATGAATTCTGGATACCCAAATATCTGAAGAATAATAAGCTGTGGTACATATAATGAATCATATGCCCAAAAGTGATATAAAAGACATCATCCAAGAGATGTGAGGTGATCATACAATAAGAGATGAGCCCCTATATCACTTAGGACAGAGGGAAAATCCTAGAATAATTTGTGAGATGATACAGACAAGATTCATACAGGATGAGGCAGGGACAGATTGCAAATCCACATCACAGGAGAGAGTATGTAAGTCAATGAATCTATAAATCCATTTAAATTTTTAATTATTTACAACCATATTATTTGGAAAGAGTTTTCTTTTTCTAAGAGTATTTACAAAGCACATATCAAACAGATCCACAGGAAACAAATCATGACCTACATGGATGTCCATACTTCAAGCTAATTTAACCTCGGCTTGTATCTTAGGAGCCATGGTGCACACCACCTACAGGGTTTTCTCTTCCTTTGTCACTTTTTCTGGTTTCCTGCCACCTTTTTTACCCCATGCCTAAATTCTCTTCTTTACCATTCCCTTCCTCATCCCTTTACCTACCTAGCCCCAATTCAATTTAATCTTATCCTTCCCCTTCATTCTATTCTCCTCTGCTTGCTTTTATCATTTTACCTTTTGTCCCATCCCATCATATTCCTGCTCCATAATATAGCTTTGCTCCCCGCCTCTCCTCTAAGGGGTTAAAGAATGGGTAGGAAGCATAAAATACAGCAAATGAAGAATGGGGAACTAATTAGGCCAGAGTGGAAGACAGAGAGAGACCACTGTCTACAGGTGAGAAAACTGGAAAAGTAACAGAAGAGTTAGGGAAACTGGCAAGGTTTGGAAGAGCAGGTGACAAGAGAAAATACAAAGAGAATGGACAAAAGAGTGGGTGATAATGGAGTAGGAATGCAGAAGAGATGTCAAATGAAGATGTTTTTCTAGTGGTAAGAGATCAAGCAAAGGGTTATGGAGTTGGGAAAAGGGTAAAAGTTCACTGTCAGGGATGACTACACTCTGCTAATCAGGCAAAATTTGGACCAATCAGGAGACACATAAGAAAGTCAGGGAGAGAAACAGCTTCTACTGCACTAAAAAACAATTATCAGTCAATATAACTGAAAGCTTTCTCTCAATATGATTGAATATAATATAAAAAACTGTCATTAGAAGCCATATAGACTATATCATTTTATGTCTTCTTGAGTTTGCTTCTCCTGAATACATAAATACATACATATATGTAAATAGACACACACATATACATATACACACACATATATATGGATACCGTCAAAGCTTTTTAAGTATTAATTTGAAAAACTATATCTATTCATTGTTAATGAAATAATAATTACTTATGGTTCTAAGTGAAACATTAAAAATTAAAATTCAGAAATAACTATCTAATTAAAAATTGGAAACACAGGTGTGGATACATTTGTAACGTCCATTGAGTAAGTGATTTAAAAGGAGCAGGCGCTGAAAAACAAGGTTATATTTAATATTAACTCACAGTGTTTTTTTGTAAATACAATATATTAATAATACAGCTATTTTTGTACCTAAAAGTTCCATAAGAATAGTTTCCTTAATTTTACATTGCTCAGTACATGTTAATATTCGTTTTTTTATTTCTTCCACTTCTGCTTTATTCTTATAATACTCTTGAGCAAGAGGAGTTTCTGAATACTTCTGCTGGTATTGCTTCAAGATTTCTTTATACTGTCTCACATAATCCTGATACATTTTTCTGTTAAAACAAAAAAGAGGAAATTGCTAAACAATATGGAAGATACATACATGAGTAAACTGGTAAATAATTTTTCATTGCTTTCAAAATAAGTAGATAAAACATTGTAGATGCAAAAACAGTAAGTATACTATTCAATTAAGACAAACATATTCTAATTATGCTCCTATATAATCATAACACCAGATATCATCCCATGTCACTTTGGAAGCATTATTGAATTATCCATAAATTTATACTTTTAAAATATCAGCAAAATGGACGCTCACAATACACATGCCGACAATCCCTTCCCTATTATTAATAATGCCAAATCCCAGTTCCAAGAGCTTGTCAGCCTCTCTCCCTCAGCTACTATACTGACTGTCCTCATCTACTCAGAGGTGGTCCAGACCTCAGATTATCAATCCTTCCCAAAAGGCACATTTTAGACAACATATGTAGACATATAAAACCTAGAAAAGCAGCATATTCTTTATAATGACAACACAAACAATCCCAATGAGAAAGAAAAGGAGACTGAAAAGAGAGACCAATGTGAACATATAGGCTGTCCCAAAAGTCTAGCTTAAAACTACTAAGACTTTCGGGACAGTGTATATAGTCAGATAACAAGCATTTATCAGGCACTTACTATGTGCCAATAAGCACTGGAGATACAAAGAAAGGCCAAAAGCAAAGTCTCTGCCCAAAAGGATGGGGTTTTCATTCACTAGAAAGTTGATAATTTGCCAGTTTAAATAGTATTTTAAGGCAACTTTCCCTAGATAATGATAAAGTCAATCTTAAATTGTTTTTGACTTGTGTATGTCATTACAAACAGAACATAATGGAAGATGCCAGTGATTATCTTGGTTTACACAAAATAATAACCCAGAACAGAAGGGCCAAACCTCTATCCAGCAAAGTTAGAGGAATCTCTAACTTGAGGGCCCTGAGCTTAGGACTTTATCAGTAACCTGCATTAATCAGATTCCCAAAATAACAGAAAAATTAATCCACATCCAGCCTTCACACTCACACTTCATCTGTGCCCTCTGCCCCTCTAACTGCATATGGATAGGGCCATGAACTCTAAAACCTCCATTTAAGGAGGGGACTTATTTTCTACCTAACTGCCCTGCCTTGGGATTTTTCTTAACTTCTCCATCATGCTTCTGCCCAAGTGTCTTCCTGAGGCTACCCACTTTTCAGCCTTCTTTTGTGTGTTATCTCCCTCCATTAGGTTGTAAGCTCCTTGAGGGCAGTTGCTGTCTTTCTTTTTTGTATGTATTTGTATACCCAGAGATTACACAGTGCCTGGCACATAGCAAGTCCTTAATAAATGTTTATTGACAATTAACTAAACAAAATATTTGGTTTCTTCATTCTTACAAGTTTTCAAAATAAAATTATTAACTTTCCTTCACTAATATGGTCCTAATCTGATAACTCCTCATGGTATGGAGATAATGCAGTTCTTCAAAGTTATGCCATCAGAATGAATGCCCTTCTAAGGAACTAAGACAGGAGCCATTGAACCATGGGTTTACTATGATGTCCCAAAGGGACCATGAGGATCAGTAAGTGGTTGTTGGATCATCCCAAAGAATAAGTCCTTCAGTGCTAAGCCAGAGCACATGCTGCACACTGGAAGGGGCCAGGGCACATAATCACACCCCCACTACATAATTAACATATGAAACATTCTTCTCTTCTAATTGTGCTTAAAGTATAATTAATATTCACTCCTAAAACATCATTTTACATGTGAGGATTATGTTACATTCAACATTATCATACTCTTATTTTGTTTTATCATCTATGAACTACATCCAATACCTTTCTTTTCCTTAACAATACACAACTCACCAACTAAGTAAAGTCCACAAATGGGTGGAAACAAAAAATACTGTTTCTAATCCTCCAGAGTTTAAATGTAAAGACCATCAGTCAAAAAAAAACATTCTTGCTACACTGATTGCTCTTAGAAAAGGGTTCATAAACAAAGGTCTATTTGTGCATATAATAGGCTACATGGTATTTGGAAACATGGAAGCTGAAGCACACTTCCACATAGTCCCAGAGAGCAGCCAGGATTCCCAGACTGACTGTAGAAAACACTCCTGGCCCACGTGACATGGAAAGAGTCCATTTTGTTCTCTGGATCTGTGGGTTGATTCAAATATATTAAGATTTGTGAATGAAAAGAGATGCCCATGGTCTGAAAACTACATGCCTATATTTATATCATGCTGATGCACTCATCTTCTGACAATCTACATGTGCTCATATTCCATCTAAATGTTCCATATTTTTATGTGTACTTGGCTTTGCTCCAAGGACATGTGTACAAAAACGCTAAGGAGACCTAGGGTACAGAGATCCCAACAGTGATGCCAGCTGTCATTTTCCTCTCACACTTACACAGCTTTTGTAGCACACCCTTTGGAGGTCATTGATCTATAGCCTTAGGATTCAGTTGCTAAACATCAGAAGCAATATAATCCACAAAGAAGAAGTGCTAACACACTTACTTTTTAAAATCTCCTCGAACACACAAAGTGTTTTCATTTCAATTAGCATTCTTACAATGTCTTATTTCTTATTATTAACAATTATATTGTTTATTGATTTGAATTAGCATTGTACAGTACTTGTCTTTTTCAGTAGTTTCTTGGTGATTCCGAAGTTGGTCCTGCAAATAAACTTCATGTTTATGAAGAATATCACGTGTCAGCATCCAGCTGTGGAACAATTTTATATTCATTAAGAGCATATCAGATGACGATAACAAAGGTAATTTTAGAAAACAGATGTACCCAATGGAGGGTGTCAATTTTCTTCTCTTTGAGATGACTTTCACAATTTCACAGAGGAAAAGCCTCCATGAGCTTAAATAAGAGAAGATAGCACCCCATACTCTGTTTATGTATCCATACACAAAAGTGGGGTTGTTTTGTTTTTTGGCTAGGCAATAGGGTTAAGTGACTTGCCCAGGGTCACACAGCTAGTAAGTGTCAAGTGTCTGAGGCCAGATTTGAACTCAGGTTCTCCTGACTCCAGGGCTGGTGAGCTATCCACTATGCCACCTAGCTGCCCCCAAATGTGTGTGTGGTTTTTTTTAAAAAGACTATTTCCTTTCATATGCAAACTGGTTTGGAAATGTGGATGGGAAGAGGCAACTATGAAGAAAGCTGCCTACGAAAGTATTGCTATGCTATTTCAGCTCCAACGTGCTTTGGTTTCTTTCTAACACCCAAAAGCCAGTTTTTCTTTGTCACCACATATTTGAAACATTAACTCAATATTTCTTTTGGAGCAGCCACTTCAGAGAACTGCGTAGGGGGTGAGGAGAGATTTTATTCTATCCTATAGAAACTTAGAAAGGCTTGTTGTTACATCTTCCCAAACTAAAAGGAGAAAACCAAACCCAGTGTCAGCTCCAGACAATTAAAGAGTGAAATGACAATATGAAATACATTTTTTTTCTTTACATGGCCTGGCCGGAGTCAGGGTGGTGGGGACTGCGGGGGAGAGGACGCTACTAATATGAAAAACTCAAAATCTTACAGCAGTTTCCACTTTAAGTATTAGATAGATTCTGCCCATTACTCACTGTTTCATCTCACTACTATATCCCAGTGCCTTGAAATTCGCCTAAATCTAGGTTTCTGTCTTTCTCTTATGTTGATATCCAGATTTTCTTCCATTTTCCCAGTAGTCCTTATATAAGCCTTGCAAAATACTTCCCACTTACGTTTTTTCACTCTGGGACATCTAACCTATAGTGACCCACTGTCATGATAAAACACTATTTTCAAAGAAATGATTTTATTTTCAAGCACAGAATATAACAAGGATTCCACAATTATTTGTATATAGGCACTCAATATTTTGACATAAAAATAGGTATCAGTAAAATAAAGTAAGTTAAAAACCTAGTATTGACAATATGATTATCTGACATAATGCATAGAAATATTTTAACTTAGAAGAATTAACTACTGGACCCAGAAATTAAATGTTGAAGGAATCTTTAATTTCCTGAATATTTGTTTGTAAAAGCTATTGATTTTTAAAAAGGATTCTCTTCATTTACAAAGAAGATCCTGAAAATGGATAGAGATAGAAATTATTTCTAACATTTTACTCAAAAATAATCTTGTATTCACTAAATTATCTAAAATTTAGAGTTAATAGGGCTTGGTTTAATGGGGTCTAAATTAATGAAATATTGCTGTACATTCTTTTCCACATTGGTAAATGACTTTAAATATTTATACCTGATCAACTATTCCATTTGTCAATGCAGGATACTTCCTTATGTCCCTACAACTTCCAGAGACATAGTTTTAGCTGTTACCCTTATTTAGAAACCCTAAATAAAAGAAATTAATAACAAAAATAAAATTTCATCTCTATCAAGTACTTACTTGGTATACTCATTCTTCATATATTTGATATGCTTACTGTAATGAGCAATTTCATCATCAATTGTGTTTATTTTGTCTTGTAGAATAAAAATATTCCTCTTTTTTTCTCTTATATTTTCAGAGAGTACTGAAAACAGAATAAATATATTTTACCTAAATACACTTATCAGAGGGCCAAAATAAACTTACATGTTAACTGATCTCACATAAAAAAACTTATTATTTAATGACACTATGAAATTGAATATATTCAAGGATGATGCACAACTTCTGAATTCAGAATGAATATCACACATACCATTAAAACATATAGCCACTATCCATGAAGTTCTCACTCATTCCAAATAGAGTAATACAAATGAAAATATTAAAATTAAGCCAAAAATTCTTAATACTCTGCAATTTTAGACTGTGGGAAAAGCAAACAAATTCATGTTTTTCTGAAGAATCAAAAACTTAACGGCTTTTTTCTTTTATCAGTCTTCAATCACCATTTTAAATTTTATATTTATTGATATCTTTTGTTTTTATATCATCTTCATTTCTAATTATATCACCACTTCCTCCCTTACCCAGCAAGCCATCATATTTAACAAAACAATATTTAATACTTAAGTTCTTGTTGTATACTATTATAATGTTTGTGTCACAATTACTCAGTGATTTAAAGCTATACTGAATGAGACAAAAGCATGGCTGCATTCAGATGAAGCCATTCTTTACTGAGAGAATGCTTTTTTCATTTTCCTCTTTTTGTCTAGACCTTAAGTATTAACACAAATAAAAAGGACGTATCACATAAAACTACTTACAAGTAATCTGTTGTTTTGCTTCTTCCTTAGCATTTGAATCTTGCTCAAGTTGGAAAACTAAAACAGACAATTTTTTTGGTTCACTTCATTGGTAAAATTTATTAAAGAATAAAACAAAAGGCCATCATTATTTTTTAATTTTACTTTGTAACTTACCCAGTTCTAGCAAAAGTTTGTCTAAAGCGATAAATTGGTCATTCATTTTGGATACTTTGGGGAAAAAACAGGGGAAAAATCCATTACTAACAATTATGAGAGAATTTTCTGAAAGTAATATACATTCTTATATTCTAAGTTTTTTGTTTTTTTGGTGAGGCAATTGGGGTTTAGTGATTTGTCCAGGGTCACACAGCTAGTAAGTGTCAAGTGTCTGCTCTAAGGTCAGATTTTATCTCAGATCCTTCTGACTTCTGGGCCGGTACTCTCTCCACTGCGCCACCTAGCTGCCCCTCTAAGTTTGTTTTTTTTAAGTTACTACTCCTCCCTGTCCCTGAACAACAACAAAACAAACATTTCTAAAAGAACAAGTTTTTGAAACTATTAATAAATACAGAGCCCTCAATGGTAGAGAAAATGTTTTAATAGCTAAATCAACCAACAAGTACTAGACAATATATTAGGTCCTGGGAATATAAAGACAAAAACCAAACTGTCTCTGCCTCAAGGAGTTTATAACCTATCAGAAGCAACCACATGCACACATAAATAAACAGAAGCACTAGCATGTAGGTGGGGAGAAATCATTAGCGACCTCATGCCATAAGTAGCATTTGAGCCGAACTTTCAAGGAAGCTAGGGATTCTCTGAGGTGAAGATGAAAGGAAAAAACATTCCAAGCAAAGAAGATAACCTGTATAAAAGTTTAAGCAAGAAGAAATAGAATGTCACAAATGGGGAAAAGAAAGTAGACTAATTTGGATGGATTGTAGAGTGTGTGAAGAGAAATAAATGTAAGTCTGGAGTTCAAACTGTCAAACGGCAAACAAAATAGTTTTGTATAGTTTTGTTCCCAGAGGCAAGAGGGACACTGGAGTGGCTGAGAAGAAAAATGAAATGGTCAGACCTATGCTTTAGATATAACTTTGGCAGTTGGATTGCTCAGACATTTAGTATTATACTTATATAGGTCAAAAAGTTGGAGGCAAAGACCCCAAATAGGAGGTTATTGCAATAGCCCAGGTGAGAGGTGGTGGTCACGTGAATAGAAGGAAAGAGATGATGTGCAGGTAAAATAGACAATACTTAGCAACTGATTTGACAGAGGGAGGTGGTCTAAGAGTGCCAAGTGTTAAAGATGACTACAAGGTCATGAGACAGGGTAATTGGAATGATAGTGCCCTCAATAAAAGTAAGAAGGTAAGGGAAAGTAAGTTTAGGAGGAAAGGCTAAGTTATTTTGAACATATTGAGTTCAAGATGGCAATGGGACATGCAGAGAGAAATGTCCAATTGGTAATTAAGGGCTGGAGCTCAAGAGAAGAAGCAAGAACTAGGTATATGAAGCTGGGAGTCATCTGCATAGAAATAATAAACCCATGGGAGTAGACAAAATCATTCAAAGGTACAGAAGGAAAAAAGAGCACAGGAAAAAGCCTTAATTTCATCCATAACCTGTGGATGATCCAGAAAAGGAGACTTAGTAGTGGCATATAGAAGAACCAGAAAGAACAGTGTCACAAAAAACCAGAAAGGCGAGACTATCCAGGAGAAAAGAGCAGCAATAGTGTCAAATGCTATGGAGAAGTCAAGAATGAGTCTTGTGAAAAAGTCATCAGATTTGAAAATTAAGAGATCATTGCTAATCTTAGAGAGAGAAGCTTTAATTAAGTAATGAAGTCAGAAGGCCAATGGTAAGAGGAAGAAGAGTGAGAGGAGAGGAAGTGGAAATAGTGAGAGTAGACTGATTCGAGGGGTATTTTTTTATCTGTGAAAGCAAAAATAGATATAGGAAGAAAGCTTGAGGGTATGGTAAGGTCAAGTGAAGGTTTTTAAGGATAGCCTAGAGACTTTCATCTACTCTTTGTAGATGAAAGACAAAATATTGTATGTGTCTATTTACATGTTGCCTCCCCCACAAGAACGTAATTTCCTTGAAAGAAGGAATTGTTTTTGACTTTCCTTACATCCCTAGCATTTAGCATAGTGTCTGGCACATATACATATTTTTAGAGGGATGAGGGGGAGAGAGAGAGAGTGAGTGTGAGAGAGAAAGAGAGAAAGGAGAGAGAAATAGAATAAAAAGAACAGGAAATTATTTGGGGGGCAATCTGTTCCAGGAAATAAGAGGGGATAAGATCAAACGTACAAGTGGAAGAGTTGGCTTTGGCAAGGGGAAAGGCCATCTTTTCATAAGAGACTGAAATAAAGGAGAAGAAGAAATAATGCCAAGGGGTTTTGAGATATAGGAAAAAACTCATGAAAAATGGCCTCTCTTCACCATCAAATATGAAGAGGAGGGAGAAAGGAGTGGTGCGGTACCCTTGAGGAGATAAGGCATGCATTGTATTTCAGTGAATAAAGCATAGCACTAAACTCAGAGTCACAGTACTTGGGCTTGAAGTCCAGCACTGACACAACTTCTGTGACCTTAGGTGAGTAAAATTCTCCCTGGGCCTCAGTTTCCTAATCTATAAATAGGAGGATAAACTGATCAGTGATTCTTAAACTGTGGGCCATGAACCCATGTGGATCAACATTTGGCATTTGACCCCATATGGGTCAATATTTGGCAACAATAAAAGGTTACTGAACGCACAACAACCAAAAGTTAATTCAAAATCAAATGCATAATGAATCTAAGGTGTTTCTAGCAGCACTTGCCCGTGTTGCATCATGCAACCTCACTGCAGCCTTGGTTCTGAACACAAAGCATGTGCACTTTGCACTGTGCATGCCCTCAGGCCACACAATGCCAACAAATGCTGCTGAAAGGAAAAGGGGGTCTCAAGTGGAAAAAGTTTAAGAAGCCCTGAACTCGATGATCTAAGGTCTTTTCCAGATCTAAATCTATGATCCTAAGAAGAGGTCTGGAACAACTACTGAAGGGAATGCAAATGAATGAATTACAAAACGAGTAAAAGAATGGTCTTGTAACAGGGAGAACCCAGCTGAGACTAGGTAACTTAAATTTGTAATGGACCCCATTAGCGTGGCTCCATGCTTGTGAAGTCATGCTTACATGATTTCTTATAGTTTAACAGTAACCTGCAGGAGTAAAGGAGTCAGATAGTGGGGATAATCCAGGCTTGGGGTTTGGCAAGACATAAGAGATGTTGGACAAGGGTGCAAGAAATCTGCAAGAAGAAGTCAGTATAAAGTTAAACTGGTTAATCAACTGATGAAGATCAGGAAGAGAAGTGAAGCCAGAGCAGGGTTGATGGTCTGGGAAAGGAAAGAATGAATTGAATGAATGAATGAAAAAAGTACATATTCATTACTTGCTCTGGGTATATGAAAGGTTAAGAGTCCCTAGCTACAAGTCAGATAGAAATGTCCCAAAGTTCTCACAGCATAGCAGCAAAGCAGATGGAAATATCTCTTCTGTTGTTTCGACTGATAAAAAAAAAAAATCTTATCAACTGTATCACTTGACAATGTCAAGGGCTTTGGTAGGAATAAAGTTTCTTTTCTGGGTCTTCAGTAAGTGTGGCTGTAGCATCTGCAGTGGTGGCCAGGCTGCCTCTCTGTGGTTCGTTGCTTTCCAGGATGATGGCTGAGGGCACCAGGCTGGAAGCACTGCTATTTCGGAGGCTGGTGGGTTCAGGATCCTGGGCTGTCACCTTCAGTGTTTACTAGTTGTTTCCATCATTACAACAGGTCTTTGAAACCATAGTGATTTGGTTGTTTTTATAAGACAGGCTTAGTTTATCCTACTTTATTTAATATCACAATTAGACCACTAAGATTCTACACAAACCAAAAACAAAGACTCTTACACTAACATTAACTGATTTGGGTAATACATATCTCATGCATAGAATATATGTATATCTGTTCATCCCATCTTTTACAGGAGGCCTTTCCCAACCCTTCTTAATTCTAGTCCTTTCTTTTGTTAATTATTTCCCATTTATCCCACATATAGCTTGGGGTGTGAGTGCTCATGCACCCACAAATGTGTGTGTGTTTGTGTATTTGTGTTGTCTCCCTTATTAGATTATAAGTTCCTTGAGGGCAGGAATTTTCTTTTGCCTCTTTTTGTATCCCCAGAACTGAGCACAATGTCTGCTAAGCAATAAATATTGACTGCTCAATTTATTACATACAAGGTTCATTTTTTTTGTCTTGATTTATGATTTCATTAGTGTAGGAATTCAGGAAAATTACATGCAAATCAACAACCCTTAAGTAACTTTTCTTGAAGAGTTGCCCAGGGCCTTAAGAGATTCCAAATGAATGCCTAAGATCATATAGCCTGGATGTAACAAAGGCAGGGCTGGAGCCTAGGTCATCAGGACACCAAGTTAATCCAACCTAACCACTAAGCTGGGTGGGAAGAGGGGCAGCCCTGTGGTCCACAGCTACCTAAAGAATGGAATTCCAGATTGATCAGCAGTTAGGTATCACAGTGGATAAAGCCCAGAGCCTAGAGTCGGAAAGACTTGAGCCCAAAAATGAAAATACTCCATCTACTGGAGAGTTTTGCATTAAAATATGTAACTATTCTGACTTCTCAACCCCATTTACTTTAGCAAAAACTAAATTAGCTACTTTTCCCCCAAATATTATGCAAATATAGAAGCAGCTAGGTGGCCAGGTGCGTAGAGCCCTGGACTTGAATTCCAGAAGGCCCGAGTTGAAAGCTACCCTCAGACACTTACTATCTGTGTGAACCTGAGCAGTTCATTTAACCGGTTTGCCTCCCTTTTCTCATCAGTAAAATGAGGATAATAACAGCACTCACCTCCCAGGGCTATCGTGAGGATCAAATCAGATAATATTTGTAAAGTGCTTAAACACAGTGCCTGGGACATGGTAAGTTCCATACAAATGCTAGCTTTATTATTAGTATAACTATTATTATTTGGCGCTATGTACAGGTAACATAAACTGATGCAAGAAAAACATAGCGTATGTATCTGCTCATCTCATCTCTTAAAGGAAGCTTTGTCCAGCCCCTCTTGATTCTAGCGCCTTCTCTCTGTTAATTCATTCCTATTTATCCCATATATGGCTTGCTTTGCATATATTTGTTCCCACGCTGTCTCCCCCGTTAGACTGTAAGCTCCTGAGGGCAGGGCCTGTCTTCTGCCTCTCTTTGTATCCCCGGCGCTTAGAACAGTGCCTGGCATGTGGCAAAGGCAGTGTAGACAGGCTTCAAAGGCACTTTGACCCCATCCCTTCCAAAAGAGACAGAGGTAACACAGGAATAAAAAAAAAAAAAGAGCCAGGAGGCCCTTCCAAAGAGACAGAGCATGCAACCCGGCCCGCCAGCCCCCTGCCCATGGGCTTCCCCCCTCCCACCACCACTTTCTCCACCCCTCCCCAGGCACCCGAGGCTGCCTCAGGCTAACCCCATAAATCCCAACGGCCCCCACTGTCCCCGCAAGGCCGCCCAGGCCCGGCCCCCCTCTACCTCAGAAGCTCCCTCGAGGCTGCCCCTCCCCCGCCCCACCATTCCCCAGGCCGGCTCGGCTCTACAACCCTCCACAAGACGGAAGAACCTTTCCTGCGAAAGCCTCGGCGGGAGCGCCCCCGGTGAAGTCACGTCGGACACTCGGGGGTCCTGGCCCAGGAACCCCCAGGCGTCGCCCCCGGGATCGTCCTCTCTGCCTCGAGCGCGCGCACCGGTGACAGCCTGAGGGACGCGAAACTTTTCCCGCCACTTCCAATGGCCCCTCCCACAGGCGCTGGCGACAGCGGCCTGCCCAGGGCTGGGATTGGAGAACGAAGCCCGAAGTGTCGCGTGCGTGCCCACGTAGAAGCGTAGGCAGGTGCGTCCCTTGGGAGGGGCGCAGAAAGAGCCTCCTGCAGCGCCCTGCTGAGGTGTGGCTGGGAGCCTGGCCAAACCGATCGACTGGCTAGTGTTTATTAAGGCTTTACTGTGTTCTGGGTGCTGAGGATACGGCTTAGCACAGTTCCTTGATTATAGTAACCGTTTAATAAATGCTTATTGACTCACTGATTGATACAAGTTCAAAGAATGAAGCAAAACCACTTTTTTTTTTTGAGAAACTGCAAAGAGTTCAATTAGGAATCATACATACACTCTAGGGTAGAAAGAGTTGGGGGATCTAGCAAGTAAACCCTTTTTCAGTGTATAAGATTTAGAGCCAGAAGGGACCTTAGAGATCATTCATTTTACAGGAGAAACTGAGATTTGACTTGCCCAGGTTCACACAGAAAGCAAAGAGCAGAATCAAGATTCAAACCCAAGGCTTCTTTCTGCCACCGAATCTACTCTTAATGCTGCACTAACCCTTGTAATTTTTTTTTAATGTTCTCATAGGAAGCATGCGGCTTTGAAAATGTGGGTGTCGGGGTTGTGTTTTGCTTTCAGATGTCATTAGTGAATGTGCCCATATGTATTTAGGGTTACCTAAAAGAATCAAAGAATCAAAATTTGCAGTTGTAAAAAAAAAAAAAGAAAGAATAAACGTTCTTTGCCACAGTAATAATAATAATGATAATAGGTTCAAGTAGTTTTTTAGAAGTATGTTTCAGTTGATCAGTAACAAGTAAAGTCAACTCATCAAATACCATACACCCCCGGATACTTTATACATTAAATTGTGTCTCTTACAGTTAGGAAATGGTCTTGTGATGTCACTGGCAGAGGGAGCCAACTCTTAGGTGAAGAAACTCCCTCTTCAGGGCAGGTGAGGATCTTCTCTCAATTGATAATCTTGAGAGAGCTGTTTACAACACTGAGAGATCAGTGAGGTGCTCATTGGTCACATAGCCAGTAATGTGTCATAAGCTGCACTTAATCGTTGGTAGTAGTATTGGCTGCAAAGTCAGTGCTCTGTCCATATCCCCCATGCTGACTCCGTATAATCAAAGTAAAGGGAAGAATTAAAGCAAAATATTTCAGAAAATAAAAATTACCTTGCCTTCATTCTCTGTATGCTTCAGGTTAGAGTAAAATTTGATTCAATCAGTCCAGATAATTCCTCTGTTCTGCATTTTACTTTACATGTATAAAATCAAATTTAGTTTAACAAAATTATAATTAAAAAACTCACCACCTGTGGGAGTATTCCTTACTTAAATGCATAATCAGATTGATGTATCCTATGTATTTTTGTTCTTCACATTCTAAATTAATGCAATACTGAATTTAAATTTTTTAAAAATGTTTTATTTTTCTCAATTACATGTGAAAACAGTTTTAACTTTTTTTTTAAATCACTTTTGAGGTGCAAATTCCCCCATTCCCTGCCCTCCCCCCCATCCCCTCCTCAAGAAGGCAAACACTTTGACATAGGTTATATATGTACAGCCATGCAAATCATATTTCCATATTAACCATGTTTCATATTAGCCAAAAAAGAACACAGACCAAAAAATTTTTAAAAACGTTTAAAAACAAGAAAAACTAAAGTAAAAATGATGAGGCTTCGATCTGCATTCAGACTCTATCAGTTCTTTCTCTGGAGGCGGATAGCATTTTTCATCCTAAGTTCTTCAGAAGTGTCTTGGATCATTGTATTGCTGAGAATAACTAAGTCATCCACAGTTGATCACCATATAATATTGATCATCGAAATCTAGTGGCCAGACAAAAGTCCAGATGACTGGCGGTGGCCCAGGATGCAGTGAATGACCTTGGCATTTTTGATGTCCGACCAAGCTCTAAGCACCGCATAGCACCTACACTTCAGCCACCTTCATGGCCATTGGAACAAATTGTTCCCACTCTCTCATTGTGTCAGGGAAAGTCTTTGCATGCTTGGGGTAGACATGCCCCTAATTCAGGCCCTAGAAATGATTGTTTTGTAATCACCTTCCCCCTCCTTCCCCACTTGTGATTTATGTATATAAGCTGTGTCTTTACTCCAGCATAGAGAGCATTCCCCACTCTGAAACAGATTAATTAAAACTGCTACTTGATTCCTGGCATTCCTATCTCTAGGCCTGATATTCACAGGTTAAAGACTAGTCCTGTCTGGACTACATTTAAAATTCTGTAACCCTATAATGCAATAACTATAATAATCAATTTGGAAAACAGAAACAAAAGACACTGACCCAAATCAATTCTTAACAATGAATCCTACATAATGAATGGCTCAAAGGACAAATCATAAAAACTACTAATAATTATGAGCAAGACAATGATAACGATGAAATGATATGGGTATGGTGGCATAGTAGTTGTCCTTAGTGCTTAAAGAGGACCAAAATGACATCACTATGTTGGGGTCGAGGTACGGTGTGTCTGACTGGGGCTAATCAGAGCAACACGAGCTCAGAAGGCTCTACCACAAGCTGGGCACAAATAGTCCATCTGAACTTTTGGAGTGGAGATAACTCTAAATTTGCACATCTCACCTTTCTTTTGAGCTACTGTAATTCCCTCCTACTTCGCTCATAGAGCACAACTCCTTCTTTGATTCAGGAATGTCAGGTAGAGCTGTGCCAATGTCTCCTATGTTTCATAATTGATTTCCAAAGTTCTTCAGAGAAACCTTGAGAATGTCCTTGTATTGCTTCTTCTGACCTCTGTGTGAGTGCTTGCCTTCTGTGAGCTGGGAGACAGCAGAATCAGGCTTCAAGGGGAAAAGAATATCCCTAAAAACTTAGGTTAGCAAAATAGAAAAGGAGGGGATTAATGAAGTGAATATTCATTTAAAAAAATTAGAAACCCAATAAATAAACCAAGCACAAAAAAGTGTATCTTGAAAATCAGAGAAATAGATAAATTGAAAACCAAAAAGACTACAGAAATTTTGAAGAAACCTAAAAGCAATGTCCTTTTTATAAGGAAAACTAACAAAGTTGGGGTAGCTAGGCGGTGCAGTGGCTAGAGAACTGCCCTGGAGTCAGGAAGACCTGAATTCAAAACCAGCCTCAGACTCTTGACACTTACTAGCTGTGTGACCCCTGGGCAAGTCACTTAACCCCATTGCCTAGCCAAAAAAACAAAAAAACAAGCAAACAAACAAACAAAAGAAAACTAACTAAACTGATACATTTTTATTTACCTGATAAAAGGAAGACGCCAGGTAATCAAATCAACAAAATAATAAATGAACAAGGTGAAATCACAATGAAGACAGAGATGCTATAAAAGTCATATGCCCAAACAGCAGCAACAACTTGAGAACAGAAAAGAAATACAGATTTGGTGGGTTTCCAAGAATGTGTGAGTTCCCATTCCTTGTCCTATTGACCAGTTATGTTTCCATGAGCAGATGAGGGAGGCTGTGCCAAATGTTTCTGTATCCTTCATGATATCTTATTTATGTTATAGCTGAGTAGACCTCTCTTTTTTTTTTTTAACATTACCTACCTATGAATGCCTCAATTCATCCCAACATCAGATCTGAACTTCAAAGAACCTCAGCCTCAGGCCCATCCCTAACATTTGGTAGAGTTGGCCATTGGGATGAGATGGCTCACATCTCTAGAGGAAAGGCAATGCAAACACAGAGTAGGATGATTGGATGGCCAGATACCTCCTGATGATACCCAGTTTCTAATGTCCTTCTGGTCGTGTATGGGGAGTCCTCTCAATGAAACAGGAAGTACAGTGGGTGCTGGAAGAAGCTGACAAAGAAGGTAATCAGAGCATCAGGTTCAGCATTTCCTAGTTGCTAGTGACCATCCTACAGAAGTTGGACTGCTAGCATAATAAGAATGAAAATAAACCAGTCCAGGACTCTCAGCCTTTAAGGAACTTGCTCTGAAGGCCAAGGGACAACTCATAGAGCTAGTGACCACACCAACTCTCTTGATAGGGTTGGATGGCAACAATTGGCAGCTAGGAACCCACTGACCTGGGGAATGAAATAAGACCCTTACCCAGAGGTTGTACTGCAATCACTGAAATCAGAGCTATAAGACAGAAGAATGAATGAAAGTGGCAGTGTGCTAACAGTCCCAGATTTACCTTGTTACTATACCATTGGGATATGATGTCCTCCACTAAGATAACAGGGTGAGGCTAGCTTTTCCCACAAATGAACTTTGTAGGTTACAAGAGAAGTTCAAACAGTACCCTGATGACTAGAAGGTCACTAGAAGCAATGGCCTCTGAGGGTCATTAGAACCAATGCAGAGACTCTCCCTGCAACAGAATTCCATAGGCTTAAGAAGCTCTCTTAGGACTGACTTCTACAGTCAGCTGAGTCAATTAGAGAATCCAGATAGGAATCATACTTTTAGGTGGCTGAGATCAGGATTTTTTTCTTACCTGTTCCCTTAAAGATGAATTCTCATTGAAGCCAGTTTCCCAATAGTTGTGTGTATACCGAAATCTAGTTCAGAAAGTACTCTTATAAGAGTAACTAATCATTTTCTATCTATTAAGATATATGTTGTCTGGGTGGGTGGGTGGGTGGGTGTGTGGGTGTAGAAGAGAGAGAGAGAGAGGGATTATTAGGAGTCCACATTTAGCACCTTATAATTCTCTACAGGAAGAAATTATTGATAATACATATGTATTATTTCTGAATCGCTAACAGCCATTGGCCTCTTCTATTTCTCTAATGAGCCGTCTTTTCCAACATACTTTTAGCCATCTTCCCTGGACTGATCTTGGACTAATTACACCATGGGTTGATTTTTCTAATGCCTTCAGATACACATTAAGATCATTTCTACACACTCCTT